CCACTGAAGTGTTGACAGAAACTTAAGAGACAGAGGAGCAGGAGATATGTGAACTGTGTCTCATAAATTACAGAAAAACATCACCCATAAATCCTCACTGATATGGTTCCAAAATAAGGCCTGTCAAGTACAACTGATCAAATCTGCTACAAAGGAAGGAAGGAGGCAGTAATCTCATGGAACTCTACCTCTGGACAAACAAAAGAAGACAATTAAGAATTAAGGAAATGTAAGAGTATGGTTAATAGTTTTTTTCTAGGAATTAACCCCATATTTGTAGCTTGCCCTCTAATAACATATACAAGTAACACTAGCTTAACTAAACAGGTTTTAGTCATACACGTGTGTATGTGTATATACACATATACATTCATATATATATATATGTATATTATACACACACACACACACACACACACACACACACACACACATATATATATATATATATATATATATATATATATATATACCTAGAATTCAAGAGGACTCAAGGGAGTATGCTTGGAAGGGATTGGAGGCAGTTGAGATGGGGGAATGATATATTTTAAGTAAAAAATAATAGAATCCCCAAATGAGGCAGATTCAGTAATTCACTCAAAATGCAAAATGTTTGCCAGGACATTCATGAATATGTTGCTACTTGTTTTCAAACAATGACATGTTAAGAACTGAAAGCATGCCTACACAGGAAAATATTAGGTAATTATACCTGATTTCTAAATATTTAAAATTTACATCAGGGGAAGTAATCATTTTAAATCGTTCTTTATAATTGTCACTGTATATGTTTAATTGTAATTATTGTTCATATCTTGTGATTTCATGCCAAAAACAAGCATTATATGAGACACATTTAAGAAAAACAAGTAATTATGATAATAAATAACAAGTTCAAGAGAATATTCCCAAGGGCTTTAATCTCTTACATGCTTTGTACCTATCTGAATCTGTTATACACAGTGCTTCTGAGAGTCTAGTTGTCATCACAAATAGCAGAACCTGTTAGCAACTCAACTGCAAGAAAACATTCTGACTCAAAGTCGTAAAAATCCCTATGTTGACACCAAATAATACACATACACGATCAAAAGATATTCTTAAAGGTTTTAAATATCTCATAAGGATTTGTTCTTTATTAGACCATTTTAGTGGATATACTGTGAATGTCAGCTCTTTTTTCTTCTTTCTGAAGAAAATGGAGAAGGAGTAGAGGAGGGGAAATTGAGTTCGAGAAAAATGAGTAAGAGAAAAATAAGAAAAGGGAATGTAATTCAAAATTTGCAAATAAAAAAGTTTTATAGAAAATTTTTTTACTATATCTCTTGTGATTTAGAAATATAAATGAAAGTTGCAATGAGATATCATCTCAAATTCTTTTGTTTATTAAAAGAAGAAAATAGATGCACGCTAAAATGAATCTGAAAAAATATGTATTCAGTATACTTTTGGAATTATTGTCCTTTACATCATTTATATATACTCGTTAAAATGCAGAATCAGCTTAAGTATCTCTCAGTGAATGCATGCATAGAAAATTTTGGTGTATATACACATGAAGAAATAGTTTGTCTTTTATTTAGTATGATGCAGCTTGTCAGTTTGACCTCTAGCGGTGTTTGTTCTATAACGTTCTTCATCGGTTGCCAACAATACAGTGTGCAACATTTTGTAACAGTTTTTTTTATTGTTGTTGTTGTTGTTTTTGCTTTGTTTTGTTTTTTGAACTTCTGATCCCCAAATCAGGACGTGGAGATTTATTAGTTATGGATTCTTGACTTTAGTTTAGGCTTTTTCTGCTAGTTCTTGTAACTTATAAAAACCTGTCTCTCTTCATCTATGTTTTCCCTTGGGCATTTTTACCTTTTTTCATCTGTATGTCCTGCTTTCCTGCTTCCTCCGTGTAAGGCTGGCTGACAGCTGTCTGAATGGCTGGACCAATCTCTTCTCTCTTTTTCTTTTTTTCTCACTTAAATTAGATTACTCCTACCTGGTGTAACTTCTCTGTTCACCAGTCCTACTTATTTCTCTACTGCCTAGCTTTCAAGGACTAGAAATTTCCCTCACATTTTTTAAATAAACTGCATAGGTATGATACTTTAAACATGAGTAGAAATACACATACAGTATGTTATAGCAAAAATAAAATTTATTGACATTCTTTTCTCTTCCCAATTAATACCCTATACCCCTTTTTCCCATTTTGCTCTTTCTATCACTTATGCTCTGCTATTTCCTTCTCTGGTGCTCCTTCACCACCATCATCATTTCCTTTCCTGATCTCTATGATTTCTCCAAGTCATATACTCACATTAAAGATGTGGAACTATAATATGCGTGCTCCACATTCCTATTATCCATTTATTAGTTGTAGAACATTTAAGTTGTTTTATTACCTAGATGTTGTGAATAGATTAGCAAAAATCATGGCTCAGTCTCTCTTGTGGACTCTGTTGATTTCTTTGGAAATATGATAAAGAATGATACATTTGTGTCACGTAATATTTATAGGAGAGTTATCCACACTTTCATCCAGATTGGCTAAACTGGTTTGCAGTCACACTAACATTAATTGTGAGCTCCTATTTCTCTCTTCCTCACCAGTACAAATATGTTGTTTTCTTTACCTTAGCAATTTTGATCAGTGCGCAATATATTACTGTACTTTATTAATACAGCCTTTTTATAATGTAAAACATATATATGTGGGTGTATTGGAATAGAGAGACAAAACATCTGCAATTTGATTCTAATAAAGATGTTAAAATATTCATTTACTGGAAAAATGACAGTGTTTGAAATTCACAATAAATTGTATTGGAAAGTAATATACACATGCAGAACAATTATATGAAATTGCTATGTCCCTTTTGCCACAAAGTGAAAATATACAGATTTGAAAAGCCTTCTGCAACCATGAACAAAACAATGCTGAATACCTGTTGTTTGTGCGCAAAACCTAACCCAGTCAACATTCATGAATGAATGAGGTGCTCAAGGGGCATTAGCTCTTACTGCTAGAGTATTCGCTGTTGATAGGTTCGGAATGAGGGAGAATACTTGTGCTCAGTTTTACATTCCCTGCTGAGCTCATCATGCTCCAACAGATTGTGTCACACTCTTTATTTCACCCATTAAACTCCATGGGTCTCAAAGAAAAATGAACAGTTGTGAATGTGAGAAAGATAGCCATTCAAAAGAGAAGAGTAGACTGGGATAGTCAGGAAATGGAAGAATGTGGAGATAAAAGAATAAAGGATGAATTCTATTCTTGTGTGAAACTTCCAAATAGCAAATTTAATAATTAGTTTAAAAATGATTAAAGATAAAAATGTAAGATCTAAAACTGATAAGTTATGAGAAACAGAGACTGCTTAAGACTATGAAATAGGAATCAACTTTTCTTAGATGAGATCATAATCCAATGTAGAAAATAAATGAGAAGTTAAACAAATACCATCACAAGTTATTAAAATGTTCTACACAGTAAAATAAAGAACAGAGTGAAGTGAAGATAAACTTTTGAAAAAAGAAAAATATATCTTTTAAAAAGATATTCTTTTGAAACTTAGAAAATTATGAACCATATATATATTATACATACATGAATTATATATATAGTCCATAATTGTCTAATATATATATATTTCATTAGAACCAAACAAAACTAATAGAAAATACTAAAAATAATCTGATTTTGAAATAAACAATGGTCTTAAATTGATATTTCTTTAAAAAGCACATGCTCACCATAACTAAACCTTAGGGAAGTGTAACTCTAAACCTCAAAATTAATCATGCCACCTCAGCATGAGTAAATAACAAATATTCATTTAATTATCAGTTTGACATAAAAGACATAAAGAACAAAGAATATCATCCACAACAATAAAGAGGTAACACACATACACATATCTTAAAACTGGAGAAAGATCTGATAAAGCAACTTCACTATTGTGCGTATATTAAAAAAAAAGATGAAACCAGTATGAACACAATCCATCTCCAAAGTTTTGTCCCCATTTATGGCAACAAAATTCACAGAACCAGAAGGTGGAGACAACCTGTCTGTTAAATTAACTTACAAATGAGAAGTGGTAAATACAAATTTGGATGAATTTCTTTCATTTCAGCAAATACATATAGACCCTAACATTAAGTGTGATAACCCAAGCACAGAAAATATTACACAATCTCATATATAATTATTAAAGCATTTTATATCAGTTAATGTTTTACAATATCTAATATTATGGTAATATTTTTAGAATCAGTGTAAGACTTTGAGGAGAAAGTGTGGACCATTACCTCTAAAGTAAGATTTCTCAACTGCTGTACAATATTTGTAGAAAAACACAATATTTGTAGAAAAATTAATTAATTAAAAACTAATCATTGATTTTTTAAAAAAAATATTCTAAACTCCCATTCTAAATTCTACATCATATTGAGATTTACAGAAATACTGGCTGAATGCTTGCTATTTAATTCTAACCAATTATGTTTTTTTCAGGGCATTAAAATTAAATCTAATTCTAAATATTTTTCTTATTTTAATAATTCATCTCTTTTTCTTATTTGAGCTATTAAATCTATATAGGCATCCATGTGTCATGTATTTTCACAAACATTAATATCATATAAAAATTAGAGATATTATGAATTCTTTTAAAATATTTTATTAATTTATGTGTATGAATGCTTGACCTGATTATATGTCTGTGAATCACAAGTGTGCATTGTATCTGGAGGCCAGAGAAGGATTTCCTAAAAGTGAAGTAACAAGGTGTTGTGAGGCACCTTGTGGGTGCTGGGAATTATACCCAGGTCCTCAGGAAGGTCAGCAATTGCTCTTATCGACTGAGCCAGCTCTCTGTCTTTCATTATGAATGTTTTACATAGGCAAGAAAAATTACTACTATGTGCACTAATTAAATGAATATCTAATTGCCTATTTATATATTATTATGTACTATATAATATATAATATTGTTCTACAGATGCTCCTAAGTTTGTTTCAAATCAGACAATGTACTACTCTTGGGAAGGAAATCCAATCAATATAAGTTGCGATGTGACATCAAATCCACCTGCATCAATCCATTGGAGAAGAGAGAAATTGGTCTTACCAGCTAAAAATACCACTCATTTAAAGACATACAGTGTCGGGAGAAAGATGATACTAGAGGTAAGCCTTTGTCTACACACCAATAAGATTATTTTTAGCAGTTATTGATTATATCAGAATACATTTAATTTAAGTTTCTATATTACATATATTAAAATATTTATATAAATTTTGTGTTTATTTTGAGAAATTAATTTTGAGATGTTATAATATCCTATTCATTATCTGTGCTTATATATCTAAAATATTTTTCATGAATTTGCTTTCTGAAAGTGAAATAATTATGTTGGCAAGAAAATATGGGGTTGGTGAAATAAGACTTTGGTTATGAAAAGTCAAATATTTTACTTCAAAGTTGATGATTTCAGTGATTTTTGTTTATATCTGGTATTCTTTGACAGCCACATAAACATATCATTTGGTTAATAATGTATAATTTTAGAATAGGTTCCCAATAAAACACTTTGGAGGAGATGTCAATGATTATGCCTATATTGCAAACATTTATATTGGTGATGGAAATTTTATCTAATAGCATGGGTTATTTCATTTTATATTTTGTGAAACTTTTAAATCTTTCTCTTGTTTAATTTAGTATTTTTCTGATACTATCACTAAATTTTGAAAAGAACAACTTTTCAGAGGAAGGATTTATTTGGGCTCTAAGTTAAAGAATGTTCAGTTAATAGTGATTTGGCTACATACAATTGGACAGAGCATTACAAAGCAGGACCATGTGGTACAGAATTCCCTTTATACTAGATGAGAAGCAAAAAGCAAGAGAATGTTGGCACCGTTTTTTTTTATTTTTCCTTTTTCAAAATTTATTTCATTCTGGTGCCCAGCCAATAGGATGGTGCTGTCCACATTAAGTTTGGGTCTTTCCAGTCTTTCCGAGAACCATCCTCACAAGGTCACCCACATGTTATTCTAAATCTAAAGTTGTTGTCAAGAGAACCAAACATCACTGAACTTCTTGTAAAAAAACAATTATTGGATTAGAAGTCAATATTGCTTTCTAGGAACACAGATGCCAAGTTGGCTTGGTTAATTCATCTTTGCTTCCTTTTTTATTCTTTATTTTCTTTCTTACTTGTTTGTTTTCCTTGATTCTTTTGTATTTCCAGTTTTTTCAGTCTGTGCTATGTTAAATGATTTCAGTATTTGCTAAGCCTAACGTCATAAATGAATTATCGTGATAAACTTGCAAAGCCTGTGTTACTTTGCTTCTGGAGTGGGAGGGTCTATGAATTCAACCTCTAATTTCCTATTAAGTTCTCAGTAGCATCGAACCGATTTTGAGATCATAAATTGAGCTATTTGAAAATGGCTTCAAAGTAAGTATCTTTTTATAGCATATTAATCCTTAAAAAGGAACAACCTGTACCGTAGGCACGGTGCTTGCTGTGGCTCTCTTGCCTCTATGTTGTATTGAGTCTATAAAAACCAGCTTCCTTGTAGAATGTACTAAAATCTTTCTCACATGACTGTGAAATAAGAAAAGGTTTTTCTAGTGTATTTGTAATAGGATTAAGCTAACCTAGTTTGTTAGAAAGCCACATGTAAAGATAATGAGTTTCTGAAAATTTCAGGGCACTTACAAAGGAGTTAAATCTGAGCGTTAAGCTGTTAAACATATGAACTTTTCTTAGTTGGCCTGCTGATTAGAAAATGAATGACACAGCTTTTTTATACTCTACTTGTTCAGAATAATCATCTTCAATAGACCTCAAAATTATTCTCTTAGTTAATAGTCTCCCATTACCACTAAATCATTTCTTCAGTCTAAGGATAGTGTTGAAATTAATGGGCATTTCGTGTTGTTAGCACAGTCTCTCTAAAATAGCCACTGGGATTGAAAAGCATATCTATCACCATTATCAATTGTCTTTGAAGGATTAATATGTAAGCATTTATGTACCCCAAAGTTACAGAGTTGACCCCACCTTTCCCCCAGTGGAATTGCTGAAGGGGAACTTCATTTCTAATTTTAATGTGAAAACTCAGGTCATATTCTTTTTCATTTAAAGAAAAAGAAAATAGAGTGAAGATAATTACTACAGATTTAAAAATACTGTTTATAGCATTTTTATCTGGCACTGTTTTCTTGCAAAACATCTTTTATGAAAAAAATATCAAGATATACAGCTAACTGTAAAATTGCATAAATAAGCATAGTGGCTTATTCATGTTCTCAACAATTCAGAGGAAAAATGAGGAGAAACACCGAAAGTTTAAGGCAAGCCTGAGAGAGACTAGAGATTCCAGTTCAGTGTGGGACATAGAAAGAGACAGGTCCAAATACAAACAAACAAACAAACCAGGAAAACAGTGCAGTACCTACTTTAGTAGAAACATTTTGTCTTAACTTTATAGTTGGTTTGCATTTGCATTGACTACATGATGTATTTCCTTAAAACTTTACCTATGCTTTATCAGTAGATAATTGTGCCAATGAATAGATGTATTGATCAAATGAATGAATTCATAACCAAGGCGTGATGAATCACTTCAACTCTGAACATCTAGTTTTGTGGATTTGTCATTCAAATTTTAGCATTAAGCAGACTGAGCAAGTAGCATTTATGCATTTAGGAAAATGTATACATGTGGTATTACAAATGTGTATGGAGCAATGGAGAGAGAGGCCCTGATGTGAAAGAGAGCAAGGAGGATGTATGGGTAGGCTTGGAGATGGAGCAAGAAATTGGAAGATGATGCAAGACATTAAAATAAAAAAATAGAAGTTAAAAATACATAAAATTAAAAGAAATGTTTGTATTATTTAATAATGCTTGCAAGATAAAGAAAAGATTTTCCTGAGGAGTCATATGTAAAATAGCTGAGCAAATGTGCAAGTAGTAGAATGACTTAGCCTTTTAAAATAACCTTGATATTTCAGCATTTTCATTTTTATTATTGTGATTGTTTTAGATTGCCCCTACATCAGAAAATGACTTTGGACGATATAACTGCACTGCTACTAACCGTATAGGAACAAGGTTTCAGGAGTATATTCTTGAGTTAGCAGGTGAGTACAGGACAATAATATTTGACATTAATAAAATAATCATATGCCCAAGTGGAATTTTAAACAATTAAAAATGTATTATCAAATTTCACATTAAATTAAAATATTTATAGTTCGTTAGTAATAATAAAAATATTTGAAATAATGAATTAAGACTTACAAAATAGAAAAATATTTGACATAGTGAATAATGAATGAATGCTTACAATTCATTTAGTATCTAAAGCTCATTTTAAAATGTAATTTTTGTCATGTAGATGTGAGATTATTTTAAGTCAGCAACATGCATTTTAACCAAAGTTATATTATAAATAATGTAAAATAACCTTTTAAAATATGTCCACATCAATGTATTCCTAAATAAATCAGTTTTATTTACAATCTAGTGTAATTCATTCAAGAGGCATGATTTTCTTCTCCAGAATGTATATGGAAACTCAGTGAGAAAATATGCAATAATTATAACCTTAATTTATTTTAATTTGTTATCATAGGGAATACTTTATAGTTGGAAATCCTATGTACAGCTCTACATAAACTGATCAATATCAATACCACTAGTAATGAAAAAATTACATCTGGGTCATATGAGAGGCAAGCAAAAGAGCAAGGTGTAATCTCTGATATTTCTTTCCTCAAGGTTGAGGAGAACCTTATCTAACAAGCATAATACTTAGGAACATGTTCCCAGGGTAGTAAGGAGCCAAAATTCTTATTAAGTCAAAATATTCTAAAGGCTTAGATTAAACAATGCTGTCACATACATTGGTTATTAATGTCCTTTAAAATTAAATAATTTTTAAATACAAAGAAACATTTAAAAAAGATAAGGCAAATTAAGAAATATACATAATAATTGTAAGAGATAAAATAATTATCATCTTAGGCAATATTATTGACAAAATCAACAACAATTTGTGGCTCAAAAATTGGTAATAAGTGTCATTTTGACAATAATTATTCATTGGTGAATAGTGCTTTATGAATTGAAGGAAAATAGTTTATTAAGAGATGTGACTATTTAGAAAAACCACTCAAATATCTTAATACAAAACATTGTCATACACATGATAATGTAACATTTATTAGCATTTTGATTACATATTATAATGGAAATAAGACACATAGATACCAAACACATATTTTGATGAATTGGACAGTTTATGATTTATGTTTACGTTGTTATTTTCTCTGCTGTAGAAGAGGAACTAGATAAAGTATATTATGACAGGGATTTACAGCACAATTGAATCACATAGTTATAATCTCTTATACTTCAGTAATACTCATAGAATAATTTTATCTATTTGTCTGATAGAGTGGACATTCAGGGATTGTGAAACAATATACCTTTGATGCATTTCTTTTTATGTGAATATGACTTATATTTTAGTCTTCATTATGGTTTAACAATGTGCATGAGCTCATGTAAACCATTTCAAAGGGCTTCTCATAGGAGGCCTCACATGAAAACACCATTTGTATTTGATTTACATGTGAACATAATTAATTAAGATGTTTTAAAATGATGTTTATTTATTTTTATATTTTCTGTATTTAATGAAAAAGCATATGTTGTAATACCATAATTTTATTAATATATAATGTATGTAATTATATAATCAGGATAATAATTATTATATTTTCTTAAAATTTCTTGGTCCTTCTTTGGATTATCTTGAACAATTTGAGGTAGTGGTATCAAAAAAGTATATCAAATAACAGCTTCAGCTAAATAATAGGTACCTAAAATTTGACTTGAAGTTTCCCATGCCACATGCCACAGAAGACATTCACAGATCTACCTAAGTGCACTGACATAAGACAATGTGAAACTGTACTTTCAAAGCACCAAGAACAAATCAAGTGCTCAAAGAGTGTAGATAGCAGTTATTACAGCCTACCGTATTTCATATAGGCATATTCTTTTTAGTGGATATTAGTGTGGCAATGTGTTATTAGCTAAGGACCTTGATTACTTTAGACATCTAATTATTATAAATAACATTTTTCCTATTCATTATCTTATCTGACCACATTTTCCCCATGTCTATAAGTGAAATATCTCATTCTGGCAATGCTCACTCGATTTTCTTAGCCTTAGTTCAGGGCCTGTACTTACCACATTTAAAGTTCAAGTTGTCATATTTGACTCATCTCTTTAACCTACAGAGACCCAGTCAAATCTAATACTTTAGTTTTCTTTCCAAGATTTATTTAATTCACAAATATCATAAAGCTGTCAGCTATATTTTCATTTATGTCACAGATAAAACTCTAGAAGTCACTTGGGAGAAGAGAGACCTGATTAGAGGTTAAGCTATGTCAATTGAGCAGAATTTCACAGATAGAGAATAATGTCAGTTCAGTGGTCTGTATGATCAGATGGCATTGTACCATAAAACAAGGTAAAGTTAATTCATTTGAAAGGAAATGGTTTCATCATCTGATTATAAATCTGTTTCTTTCGGTGAAATATCTTAAAAAGATATACTCATTGATATTTATTTAGAGAATTCTGAAATAAACAGAGATTTTCAGTAACTAATCATATAGTCTTTTGCATTTTCATGATCATACTACAAAAAAACAAACAAATAAACACTGCTTACCCTAACAATAATATTAGTAAAAATCTTTTGACAATAACTAATCACTAATTAACAACTGACTAAACAAAAACATGGAATGTTTCCCCTAGGTTCAGTATACTCTTTTGGATCTTTGAATGAACATATGAATATGAAAGGCACTCAGTCATTACCTAAATTATATTTCAATACATATGAGTTACAATATAACTTTAAATAAAAAACATGACTGCATAAAATCGGAGTTCCTAGGAAAAGCTTCAAACAGATGTCCTCTTTTGAACTAAACAAGAAAGAAAAACTGGGGCCACTAACAATGGAAAGAGAACACAGGTCAAGGTGACATTGACAACAGATGCCTGTGCTATGAAAGAGTGAGAGATGCTTTGAAGCAGGTCACTTAATGAAGACTGTGGAAATATGTTCAGTGATCAGCCCAGTTCAATGTGAATAGTAAAATTATGAAAGATCAAGTCACAGATTTCCTTAGAATATGTTTATATTCTGTCTAAGGCATAGAATTAGAAAATTAAATTTGGAGATGTTTATTCATATTGCAGAATGACCCATTTATTTTTGAAAGACCACAAAGGACTGATTGATGAACAGCACAAGGTGGAGGCTGTTGTTCTTTTCAAGTTATCTAGGCATTTTTAGTCTATAAGTCTATGAATGGATAGATAAATGAAAGATAGAGAGAGCTGATAGTGACTGAAGATAGATAGATAGATAGACAGATAGATAGATAGATAGATAGATAGATAGATAGACAGACAGATAGATAGATAGACAGATAATAGATAGATGACAGATAGACATCCAACTACCTGAATTTTTTTCCCAGTGTATAAAAGGTTTGGTGTATTAAAATTAATTGACTATGAGACATAATTGAGACTATAAATTAAAAGATTATATGTGTGCATATTATTTCTGAAAATATATTAATATACAGAAATCTTGATTTTGATTGAACAAATTCAATGAAAAATGTTAGTGATCAGGGATAGAACCAACAAACTACCTAATTTGAGTCATTGGACTTAATGTACAAATAAAATTGTAAATGACTATACAGTTTATATAACCACTTCTAAGGATATATCAGGAACATAAGTAATGAAATGAGATTAAGATGTCAGTGGAATAATCATTTAAATTTTGAAGCTGCTAAATACCAGAATATTGAAATTTAAAGCAATTTCCAAGGAATTAGACACAAATACTACACAGTCCTATCAAGTTCATTTTGAGTTGAACATTTATTGATGAAGCTGACAATTAAGTACCGTTAATATACCCAGTATAGTACAGCATATACTTTTTTGTTTACATCTGTACAACACTGTTACTTGGAGTCATCCATCAGTTTTTGCTCTTACATGTTTTCATGATTTTGTCTCCTCTTCTACATTGATTGTTGAACCTTAAGGGAAAGAGTTTGAAAAAGAAATCCCATCAGTATATTTTGTCAGTTTACAAAGATACCTTAGAACTAAACATATCTGGTGAGAGCACCTGCCTTGCGAACATTTCCCTCAATAAACCCTCATATGGAGTAAAGAACATATGTGGTATTTACAGCTCCTTTTGTAAGTCCCTAATCACATATATCAGAGCTCTTCCAATATTTTAAAAGACATAGCCTGCTAACATTTTAACATTGACAGTTAATTTTCACCATTAAAATATTGAGAGTATCAATATCAAAGCATAAGTTAAAAGAAAAAAAAATAATCTGCATTTATCTTATTAGAAATAAAAGAAGGCATTTAAACAGAACCAGATAAAATCCATTTTTCAATTTATTTATTTGTTTGTTTTGGTTTTCAAGACAGGGTTTCTTTGTAGCTTTGGAGTCTCTCCTGGAACTAGCTCTTGTAGACCAGGTTGACTTCGAACTCACAAAGATCCGCCTACCTCTGCCTCCCGAGTACTGGATTAAAGGCATGTGCTACTACTGGCTGGCCCCAGCATAGTTCTTAAATTGGAATAGTTGATGCCTCTTACTGTCATTGTATATCTTCATGTTTCAATGCTTTTTGTCACAACCCACTTATCATTTATGATTTTCCAGAGTTCAATTTGTCAACTATTATTGGCTTTGCTTATAATCTAATACACACTGATATTACGGCCATATAGCAGACTGGCATTAGACCATAGACTCAGCATTCCAGTGGCTCCTCTTCTTCATGCTTGTAGATGCTTTTTTCATGTGGACCTCCTAAAACATGAGAATGAGATTCAGCACTTCCAACAACCAAAGTTATGAGCACCATTTTTCTAAAATAATAAAAGTAATGTGGGCAAAGTTAAACTTTGGGGTAACTCAGTATACAAAAGGCATCCAATCTTCAGTCTAAGAGGCCCATAGTATCCAGCAGACTTTTCCAAGAAGCAGGAAATTTCAAAGACATCTATATTGGCAGTTTGTCAGCCACTTTCTTCTGTGTCCTGAATGTGTCTAGAAAATTCTTTCATGAAGAAGGAACATCGAAGGACCTTTCTCACCCTTAGGCAAATTCAGCAGTAATTTCTCTGTGGGTCCTGCATGTCCAGTTAAGCAGTCCAGGCAAGAGCAGTTTCTTGCCCAAATGACTAACCAACACAATAAGAAGCCTCTTTGAAGCCAATCTTCCTCTTGAAGTAGCTTGTGATGCCAGGAACATATGTGTCTCATTGTCATGAAAAGTCCTAATTTATTAAAACATTGTAAATGCCATATTCTGAAGGACTCTGAAAAATTTGAAGAACACTTAAGTACATGAAATATATTTTTATAAATCTAGAAAATCTAACTAACATGACTGACTACAAATCACCTATTATAGATGAGTATCTATTAGCTTATATTTCTTAATTATACATTACACAAACACAATACCTAAATAAAGATCAGAAAGACATGTACATATAACAAAATTGACCTTAAACTTGTATCAATAAACCATGATCCATACCAATGCAAAGTATCCATCTCTATAGTATATTCCACTATAAATGTAAAGAAGCCTTTACATACAATATTTAGGAATATGTGCTCAGTTTTATCCAAACTGCTTCCAGCTGTTTTCTAGGTGAAGTATTTTCTCTGTGGGGGTGTTCACAGCAACCTTTTAGGGGTTCTTGTTCTATCAAACCATATTGGTCTGGAAGCAATCCACAGGTTCTCATCTTCTGTGAAAACAAAAGAAGAACTGCTTTTTCAAAGCAAGATATCCTTAGACTCAAAGTTGGAAATCATGATACCTTTAGAACATATATGTTGTTTTAGCTTAGCAACCCATACAATGAAATGTCTCTGTATTTAGCTCCTTCACAGTCAAAAATTCAAAGAAAACACAATAATATACACAATCCAGACTTTCTGTGTATATTCCATCTTTATGTGGCTTGTTTTTACTCTCATACTTTAAATATTTATTTTATTATCTTTACTCCTTTAATCTTTGACTGTCTGTACTGTGTCTATTTAAAGACTTTACCCTTTTTTTTAAACCATTTGATTCTTTTCCAACTCTCTATACTCTTTTTCTCTTCTCTTCCAAGCCTACATACATTTATCCAACATTGTGACCCATTTAGAGGTCTTTTATGTCTGAATTTGTCCTACTGTGTATCTGTAATTTTTTACTGTTCAGGAACAATTCTTAAAATGCTAAGTGCTTCTTAAAAATTTAAGGTGTATCATTCCTTGGGGAACTACAACATTGCCTGCTTGCCCAGCCCAGTCCAGCATGGCAGAGCTGCTTGCTGTCTCTGAGAACTTCCATGCACACCACCCCATTTCCAGGCACCCTGTTGGTCAATGTTGTCACCAAGCAAGCCATAGCACATTGCTCATAAACCCCATTCAAATGTCCAGTCTTCTGAAAGAGCCAGAGTTTGAACTTTTTGAATGGTTCAAAAAGCTGGCATTTTAAAATGACATGGCTTTTTTTCTGTTACAGCTGAGTCAGGAAAACTTTTTATAGGAGCAGTGACACACCACCAGCAAACAGCAAGAAATTATGTTAAATTCTGTTATTTTGTGTCTAAAATTAAGCTTTCTCAGGTTTTTAAGTGGATTTTAGCTTTCCATGTTGGTGCCAAGTTATTGCATGGAGGCTGCTTGTTGTTTCCCGGCTGTTCAGCTTCCAAAAATAATCACACAGAAATTGTATTAATTAAATCACTGCTTGGCCCATTAACTCTAGCTTATTATTGGCTAATTCTTATATTAATTTAACACATTTCTATCAATCTGTGTATGTCTACATTGCTGTGGCTTACTGGCTAAAATTCTGTTGTCTTTTCCCGATGGGGCTACATGGCATCTCTCCTGACTCTGTGGTAGCACATATAATAATCAAGAAAACAATCCCTAAATATCTAAAGATAAAGAAGTTAAGATAAGTAGTAAATAATAAACCAAGGAGAGGAACTATCTCCATACACACACACACACACACACACACACACACACATTTAATTGATTGATTGAAGAGTGAATGAACAAATGTATATCCTTTACTCTTTCAGTAGAAGAATATTCATTATTAAAAGACACAGTCTACCTGAAGTTGTATATAAATTCGGTATAAACACTATCAATGTAACAATAAAATATTTTTGCAGAAAAAATTTTTATAAGCTCATCTGAAGCAAAGGAAGACTCCAGAGAGATAAAGCAATCTTGAAGAAAACAAAAATTCCATTAAGAAAAAATACACTCTTTAAAATGTTCTTCACAGCTAAAGAACACTCATCAGTTCTCCATTTTATCACTCTGGCAGGGTATCTGGCATGCTTTATGTTGCGTAATTTCATTTTGAAACTTTTTCTGAATAACCGGGTACACACTATCAGTATGTTTCACATCATTGCTTCATGTCTAATTCTTGTATCACAATGAGTCTTAGTAATAGTCGTCATCATTGTCCAGGATGCTTCCTTTGTAGATGTACCCTCTAGTCCTCATGGAGTGAAGATTGTAGACCTGTCTCAGACTACAGCCAAGATCTTGTTCAACAAACCTGACTCCCACGGAGGTGTGCCTATTCATCACTATCAAGTGGATGTCAAAGAAGTGGCATCAGAAACCTGGAAAATAGTACGCTCCCATGGAGTTCAAAGTGAGTTACTTATTCAATATGTGCTAATTCATGAATTCTGATATTTAATATGTCTCTATGATTTACTCCTTTTTTTCCCTTGCAATGGGGTTGGGAAATCATAGTCATTGTCTTATTTTACTTTTAAATAACTTTAATATAGATCTGAAAATTTTGCTTTATTATTTTTTTTCAAAGAGTGAAATTTTTGTCTTAAAATTCTGTTATCAAATACAAATTTTTATGTGTCATGATAGCTACTTTTCATTGTATTATATTCTGTTGTATAAGCTGTCTACTTTAATAAGAATAGAATAACTAAATTGAACTGCTAAAATCATATTCTAAGAGAAAATTTAATTTTATTCCTTCATGAAAAGATGATTGCTGACATGTTGTTTATGGAAGGTGAATATTCTTAAATGTGTCTTTAGATATATTTATTCACATTTACATAAATAGTCATGAATGTGATATTACAAAACAGTTAACTGACACAGGCACTTATAAAATTGTCTACATAAGTTCATAATCAGGTAAGTTTGTTTTCAGCTTGTGTTTTGAAAATACACAATTAAAATTGAAGTTTTTATTCAAGTTGTGTCATTGAAGTAACTAAATTGTCTATTTCTGAAAAGTTAAAATCATGTATATTATTCTTCTTAGTAATGGGAAATTCTGTTGAAATTTGAAATGGTGTCTTAATTTTTCATTATTTTACAAATTATAGTAAGAAATAATAAGAAATTGCAAATTTGTGAGCATGTAGTTTAGATTAACCTGTAATAAAAGTATGAACATGTGAGGGTATCAGTGCTGTGTAGTGTCCTTGTCAGATCTGCTAGTCAACCTGAACCCTCTTAAGGTGTGCAAGTATATTGCTGGAACTATACTGAGACAACAAGAGGGAGCAGATCACAGCACAGGAATAAAACAAAATTATTTATTTTTTCCAGACTAAAGTAACATGATATTTTACAATAAAAATATCAAAAGTTTCAAAGAATCAACTATTGATAATTTACTTTATGCTCTGTATAACATTACAAGTAGATGAGTTAATATTATTTCTTTTATTTTGGTGTGTTATTAGCTTAATAAGTAATATTGGGAACTTCAAATTATTTCTTCTACTGAGACATGCATCAAATTCTATACATTGTATTCCCACCTCTATATTGCATAGGTAGAGCCAAGGTTGCTTGAAGCACAGCTCATGCCCAATTCAGTGGTGTTTTTTGCTGCTGTCATAGATCGAACCTGATAGCTAAAACATTTATCCCTTGGTAAATGGGGGGCTCTTTTTTCCAAGATCACAAATATCTCCATCAAAATATTTTATTTAATTATTACAATATTCATATTCAATAGTCATTACCTAGATGGAGTAAGAGTCCCTAGGCATCCTCTGAGAGCCAGCAACTCACAGATTATAAAGAATGTCCTGAGGATTGTTTGACAGTTGGTTGTCCTCAGCCAAGTTTTCATACAGATCATCCAAGACAGCTATCCTATACAGTCTTTTTTGTGTAACTATTTGTTCCTTTTTTTTACTCAAATTCAGCTTTCTGTGGGAAGACCATGATTAGTCATACATCCTTGTGAGGCTATAGCAGATCATAACAAAGTGCTGACAATATTCTTTTCAACTAGGAAAGCTGAGGCCTCTGAGCTAAAGTAATCCTCCACACCTACCATTATATCATTTTTAGTGTTTTCTTGTTATAAGGATCAACAAGCTTTAGGCATAAAAATAGCTAAATATAAATGGGCTCACAGACCAGCATCTTTCCTTAATTTTCACAGTTTTGAGTTTCTAACAGTCAATAACGTAAAAGATTTAACCTACAAAATCATTTAATAAACACAGAAATGCTTTGTGCTTTTCTTTGAAAGTTTCTTTTTTCTCACTATCTTTTCATTCATTTATGAATGTTCAGTTGATACACTGTTTTTTCTCGTATTTGTAAAATATTACATATTTTATATTGTTTGTATCTATTTATAACTATCTGTATCTAATTACTGACTTCTCTGTTCATGAATAAGAAAGGTCTTGCTTGATTTTACTGTTATATAGCAGAGAAATATCACAATGCATTTACTTTCATGCTTTAATTTCCAGTCTTACCTAAGCTACTAATTACCCATGAGTCCCACTAGCTGAGTTATCACCTGATCCACAACTTAGCATACAATGAAGATAGAATTATAGTATTTTTCCTCAATATTTATCTGGAATGTAACAATGCCAGTCAATGAGATGACACTCAACTAATTTTCAAAATATATTGACTTGTAAACAAATAGTGAATACATAGTGCAACTTTTTAAAAAAATATGGGATTTTTTTTCCTGTAGGAAATGTTACAAGAGTTTCTAAATATTTCTGTTGGATTTTTTTCCACGGAATTTGACATGTTCATTAATGTCATCCTTGTTCAACTCATGTATGAGTGGTCATGCTTATTGTTGTTCTATTAGCAATAGCGAGACAAAGGAAACTACCTAAATGTCTGGCAACCAATGAATACATCATAAAAATGTGACACTTACACACTATAAAAGACCATTCAGAAATAATGAAAACTGAAATCATGAACTTCACAGGTAAATATATTGAACCAGACAAGGAAGACTTTTAAAGTTTCAAAATAACAAATGTATGAAAAATTCTAGTTTCACTTCACAATTTAGGTAATTTTCACTAATTTATAATCCCTGATTTAGTAGTTTCCTTATCAGATATGAATGGGAAACAGGTTAGTTATGTGTGGCATTAATGGTTAAAATGTTGATGGTTTCTATTCAATTTTATTTAATATGATAGATACAAATAACATACTGGTATAAAACCTTTTTCAAGTCTTGTGAAACTGTTTATTAGTTTTATAACATCCCTTTTTTATGTCACCCTTTTCTTCCCTATGCAATGTTTGTTGTCTGAACAATAGAAGCCAGTTTTAGAGTTTGTATCTTCTGTGCTTTGCTACATCTCAATGATATATTTGCTGTGTGTAAGAAGATAAATTGGGTCAGGTATAGTAACTGGAACAATCTTTACTGCTTTAGGAATAACTAATATTATTTTGTGTGGTTAATAATTGCCTGATTTAACAATCAATATCATCAGAATCCTAAAATATGGGAAATGTTGGGTGCTACTAAAGAAATATTTCAACCTACTTCTTTCCTTTATCCCGAAGTATGTAACAAAATGTGAATTCTTAGTTGGACTTTTGGAATAAAGTTATTTCTATTTATAACTTTCAAATTCATTTACTAGAAATCTATCACGTAGACTAGTGTCAACAAAATACAGTTATGCCAATTGAAATGCCACATTCATTTCAAGCAATATTCAGATATACAGAAGGAAAATGAAGTTAAAGTGTTGGTGTAGGGAGGTATGAGATGAAAATACTGGTCACATAATACCATTTAAATTAGGCAAAACATACATTTCTTAGGATCCATTTATATAATGAGTCTATGCTTAACAATACTGTATCGTCAACTAAATAATCACTGAGGTAGTAGATCTTCTGTATCTTAACTAAATAATCTCTGAAGTAGTAGAAATTCTACAGCAGATATAAAGAAACTGTAGGGATAATGCATAGTTTATGATATTGTGCTCTTGATTTAATGACTACTTATCTAAAAATACATCAGTCACACATAAAGTAATATAAAATGTAGATATATTTTAGTATAGAATTTATTTTTCTTTCCTTTCAATCTGGAATCTATACCTTACAAATTTCGGATTCATATTGCTATATTTTTATAGGTGTAATGATTGGGTAGGAAATAGCTTTTCCTTCCATTATTTTAATTTTATTTTCTAAATTACTTAATGATACATTAAATTATAAATATATTTTAAAGGTCTCTATATTTTAATTCATTTGTTGCTTTATGACTTACTTATATATTGTGTATAATTCCTCAGGAAAAAATGGACATTATCAAACTTCATAAGGAGTTATTTTCTTTTATTTATGTTCATATAAAATAATTAAATTAATAGAATAATAAATTAATAGATGCTGGCAAACATCAGCATTGCATCATTGATAGTCTTCAATGAACCCTACATTTGCTTCTCTCTGTCTCTCTCGTTCTGTCTCTCTGTCTCTATCTCCCTCTCTCCCCCTCTCTTCTCTATTTTTTTTATCTGCTTTTCCTCTTCTCTATAACCTCCAACTAAGAATCGATCATAGTGAGGAGTATGATAAATATACTCTCTATTGTTTCCCCTGATGTGTTGGAAAAGGCTCTTAATGTGCACTTTGAGATACTGTACAGGCTTATTTTATAAATGGTGAGGAATATTCAAGGCAAGTTGGAATGTCCTCATCCTCACTAATACAGTGTTTTTAAAATATTGGTATATACCATTTCTAGGTATAGATTTTGATGACCTAAATTTTTCTTTTGAGGTACCTGGGAGACACTTTACACTTCAGCTGATGTGCCTATTCCATAGGAATATCCGCAGATGAACGGTCACCTCCCAGTAGTGGAAAGCTACTGTGACATAATTACGAGTTACAGCTATGTTTATCCTGCAGTGGTGCTTTTCATCCGGTTGTTTATAGTTTCACGTAGAAACCTAAATCTCCTTCTTCCAAAAGATGTGATTTTACCTTTATATAAACAATTTAAAATAATCAGTATTTAGAGTTACCTCTAAACCTATACTAATTTACTGCTCATGAAGGGAGTTAGTGCTTTAAAAATTACCTACAGGAATATTTTATGTGATTATACAATTTCCAACATAAATGTGACTGAAAAAAGATAGCCTTTAAAAAACATATATATTCATGTGGTAAAGCATAAATTGACTTAAAGTTCTTTTGTCTGTGTTAAATTCAAGTATAATAAATTGTTGGAAATTTTAAGGAGAGAAGTGAAATGAAATCCACACAAATTCCCTAGTTTTATTGAAAGTGATTTTGTCCTAATTTTTATGTTGCAGAGGAATTTCTGACTAATAAATTTCAAAATAAGAA